ATTGAATCATTTATTCCATTTACTACAGCAACGGGCAAAATACAAAAATTCAAATTAACAGAAGCAATGATGAAAGAACTATCAACAACATCTTCATAGTTTAGTATCTCTTCGAAGAAGCTTATGTTTTGTATTTTCTAATAGAAACTGTTTATATGGACTGTGAATATATTATTTGGTAGATCACAAGATAACTATATTTTCATTTTGTTACCTTTATATTGCTTATTTTTCAAATGTCTATATAGATCAGAATAGATCGTTCACTTAGTTGGAGAATAGTGTCCTGCACGGATACGATTTTTCGCAACCAAACTCGAACTGGCAATTCTTTTTTATACCCGAGCCCGGACTAGACCCGGATCGAAGCTAATTGACAACCGGTAGGTACTCTCACAGTCACAGTAGAGCTTTCAAACTTTTATTTTATACGAAAAAATATACTATTTAGTTTCTTTCGTAAACAGCAACGTAAATAGAGATCATCTCCAATTGCACAAAACCTCAAATGAGTCAAGTATTTCAGAATTTACTTGGTATCTTTTCGCTTCTAAAATCCGATCAATTTTGCTGAATATACATTTGATTGTTGCTGATGACTCTAGGATGGGACCGAGTGTTGATGCTAAATGTCATAATTACGGATAAATATATATGTAGGCTTCTTTCGGTACGATAATGTATGTCCAACTTTTTCATAATTCATTTTCTCCTTCATGTATTCATTTACTTCGTCATATGGTTCATTATCATCTGTAGATAAATTTCTATTAATAAAAAATTCTTTTAATAAAACAATATCATCACTTTGTATTTCTGTGAACTATTCTCAGGCATAATAAGTTGCTCAATTATGATCGAACTAGTTTTCACTCGTACACTTTTATATAAATTAGCAATTTGAAGACGTAAAAATATTTAGAAATACTGAGACCTGATCAATTGTCGAATGAGGGTCCGAATATAAGATAAGATAATGTTCAGGACTCATGTTTCGGGCTAGGTCGGATGCTAGGTACACGACCTAATTGCAAGACGCTATTGAATAATCTGTAGATGTAACTTCTTCATTTGAATTCTGATTATTTTTCTATTATCAATGTTTAAATTACGGATTCTCATTATCATGCATACGATGTAGGCGTCTAATTGTCTCAAATTATTTTGAATCAAATCAATATTTTTCTATTTAAATAGATTTAAGATAGAGAATTACTTGTTGTAAAGAGTATTGTAGAATAAATTCGACCGAACCCATTTTTTATTTCTCACTTATTTCAAAAACTTTTTTGCCTCAATATATTGCTCTTGAAGTTTTTCACAAATCTGTATACTTTACTAAACAAATGTAGTCTCCAACACTTTCGAATCAAACGTAATCATATGATGAAATCAAATGCCGAATATTCAATTTTTTTCTCAACTTTCGTGACAGTACATTTAAATTCGTTTCTCAGTATTGTTTTTGTTATGACATGGCCACAACTCATAGCATTTACTAGTTCTCTTCAAAAACTAGAACCTAGTGATTTCAAATTAGTGGAATTTGATGACAAATTGGTGATAGGATTAAATATAAGAAAATGATCGGCATGCAAGGAGGAAAATGCTGAAATTTTAATTGCCGATGATTACCAATTATCGCAATTAGCTTTTGTCGCCTGGCTATATAGTAGTTTTAATTCGAATAATGCGTCTAAAATCTAATACTGTCTGATTAGAACTTAGGTTTTTAGCTGAACTCTCGTGTTCTTGTGATACTATGTTCTATTAGTTTCATGATCTCCTTATATGAGTCATGGGTAAGATATTTGCATTATATTATATTCATTGTATACTTCTTCTTGAAACGCTGATTTGACTAACTCATTTTTTGTTGTTGTTAATTGTTCCTTTGAAGTAATTGCCATCTTAGCTTCGTATTAGTAGCTGTTGTTCGAATTATGCCTCAAAGACCAAAAGAGTGTGGCAAAAATGATGGAGCAAGAACTGTTCACCGTTTTTATCCCCAGATTGATTGTTTTCTTTGACAACGCTCCATCTTTATCATGACAGATTTTTACTGGTTCATTACTATTTTCAAATTTATTTTTCATCATTTTTTTTTTCTAAGACAACTAAAATTACATTTTTTGGCTTTGACCATATGCAGTTTTGTAAAACAAAAGTTGCAAGTTCTACCTTTAGATGAAAAAATATTTTGATCGAATGGAAAACTGAGAAAAATATTCAAAATACAAACAGTCTAATGTATTCTGTATCACCTGTTTTATGAAAATAATATTAGTGTGAAGCTGATGAGAGTTTCAATTTCTTCGTGAGTAGAGGTCGAAGCGCATTGACTGAGACGCCACCGCGGAGACTATTGATAGCTAGGTTTTCTTTAAATTTTCAAAAGCTTAGGTCAGTTTTTTTGGGAGATTTCACTATCTGATTTCTTATCCTTAAGTTCTCTACCATTGTTTCATCTTGTTTTCATTTCAAAGTTTCTCGAAATTAACAAACTTTTTAAAAAACTCCTTAAAAAAGTTCAGCCGCCGCCGCTAATCAATGCATCGGCTTACGCCTTTCTTTGTGATTTTCAATATGTTATTTCTTTCAATACTTTTCATTCTATATCAATCAATACTTTGTTTAATTTTAAAGCAAAAAAAAACTTGTCAACAAATGAAAAATTAATTAGATTCAAATATCATAAGAAAAAAATTGTAGCATGTATAAAAAGCTAAGTTTTTGTAGGCATAACATTGACTTAGTTTTAAACCAATGTCACCTCTTGCTGATTCATCACTCGGATATTCTTGAATCAAGTCTTGTTCATGTTAGTTGAATAATAAAATTGATGCAACGAAATAAATGTTATATTGGATGATAATAGGTCACACCTCTTCTTATCATGTCTTAAATAATTCTAAATCACCGTCATTGGTCTCACTAATTTATTTCGAATAATCGGGTGAAGCTGCTATTTTGTGTCATTTTATTTATACTTGAAGAATATTACTAATTTTAAAACATTCCATATAGCAACTAATTCTTTAAATCCATTTGATTGTCTTCCTGATGAATTAATTGAATATATATTTCTTTCAATTATCTATTCTCTACTGATTGAACCTTTCAATCATGTAAATATTCCTTCTTCGTCATTTTATTTTTCTTACACTCTTCATGAACCATATCTTCGTCATACTTATAAAGATCGTGTTTCTTTGAAAATGGTTTGCCATCGTTTTTATAATCTTCTTCGTTCATCAACATTTTGAATACAAAAATGTCATCATGATCTTGTATCAATTGTTAATGAACCATTAGCAATTCATACTAGTGTCGATTTTCAATGACTCTATTTTTCAAATCCATTCCATTCTGATTATAACCTTTTGAGCTTCAATAATGATATTCAAGATCAACAAAATCAATTTTAACGTACAAGTGTTCAATGGGAGAAACCTCATATTGGTTATGATCTTCTTTACGATGGATTTGGACTAGTTTCGTCTTGTTATGTGACATCGTATACTTGGGGACAACATCAACGTAATAATATTCAATTACTTAGAAAGGGAAAAGAAAAAATCAGTTCTATAAAAACAAAAGCTGCTAGCACAATCTCTGGAAGATTATAATATGAAGCATGATAAAGCTACTCTAACTAATCACAAAGAGATTATTTTATTCTATTTTGGGACATATTACTTCATTATCTTTTTACTGCATCATTCAGAAGCGCAATAAGAAAGTAGTTCATATATTATAACGGGACACTATTGATATACGGTTTATGATCGTATGTCGACGCCTGTAACGATATTTGAGGAGAGAAATCCAAACTTTTATCTCAATACTTCAAACACTTTCAGATCATGTGTCACAAAAGATACAATGTTTAGTTTATTTTTACATAATAGATTTGAGAATACTGCATGGTCAATGTGCTACTCATCAAAAATCACATCGTCAAACTTCAGTAATTTGCATTTTGGCGATGTGACTATCAGCAATGAATATTTTCGACAATCTTCATTTCGATGACCGAAGATATCGCCATATGCTGAAGTGACACCTGAACTATATATATATGACATATATTCAGAAAGAGTGGACTTAGGGAATGATTTTCGAAGGCTATGTCGACAAAACGAAACTGACGAACATAGATAATTCAAAGGAATTCAGCGATTTTCATTTTGATGAACTGCATATTAATGGTGTTTATTTCGATAATGTTCGTTTCGACGATCTCGTTTTTGTCGATGGAATATATGAGCTACTCTATCATTTAGTGATCAGATTAATCTGTATCCTCTCTATATATAATAATGAAGTATATTATAATTTTATTCTAGTTGATGTCTATCAATCTAGTAATTGAATTTACAGTTTGTGTCGCAGGATGTCGAGATTGTTCATCAATTTGCAATTTAGAATCATGTTTTTCCAATGGTCATATATAGCGATATCAACGTTCATTTTCAAATGAGGATTGTCAATGGCATCGTATAACCTATCGTTATATCAATTATCCACAGAATGAAATGCCTTCTCATGTATCGATTTATTTGAAAAGTAAAGATCAACGATTTTAGACTGGAAATTATGGAACAAAGTTTGCTCAAATTGAATTAAAATTACGATTGAGAGAAGAGAGTGCAATAGAAAATCAAGAATTTGAAGATACAATTGTTGAACAACATCCATCTAATAGTTCCAAGCAATCATTATAAAAGATCAGAAATGAACTTTTGTTATTTACATATTTACTTAAATTTTTAATTCTTGTGTTAGATAATGAAAAATTTCAATCAAAAAACGAATTTATTAAATTATATTTTATCAGACTATATATTTATGTACATATCAATCTCTCTTAAAGTTATATTTGTAAATTTAAAAAAAAAAATTTTTGTTTCAACTCCAGCAATTAAATAATTCTTTTTCTTTTGTTATACTTATTCATTATTATTAATCGGATGAGTCTCATTAATGATTGATAAAGTTCACAACAATAACGACTGACGTTTGACTGTTATCAATGTCGGTTCTAATATATCATTTAAAGATCGTTTTTCTGATACTTTTATTAGTTGATTAACATCTTGTATAGATTTTTTCTTATTTTGATTATCAATATTTATTGAGAATATGTCATTTAAACGATTATTATTTGAATTTCGATAGAAAGAACCACGAATAATAATATATGGAGCTAAACAACAAGACTTGAATTAATCTTCCCCCCAAAAAAAATAGACTCATTTCCTACCAAGTATTTTGACCATAGGAAATAAATCATCAAAATTCTTGTTATCCAATAAATTCTCTTTTTCTTTATTAGATATTTCTAATGAAGTATTCTTCATAATAATAGATTCGTTCGTAGTTTTCATTGTCATATCATCTTCAGTTATTGCTGATGTTTGAATAGGTGGTAAACCTGAATTTGATCGAAAAATAAAAATGTTGCAAGACGACGTAGCAAAATAGTAAAAGAAAAGATAGAATTGTAGAGTGATTAATAACGACTTATTATTATTATGTTAGGAATATAAAAATCATATTTTAGAGGAAAAAATGTTTTTGTCAAAGTGGTGCGAATGTGGATTAAGAGTAGACCCATAATCACACCTACACACTTCACGCTCTAGATTTCTATATATTTCAGCTATCGAGAATGTTAACCAGTTCTAGGAGAATAGACTTAGCCTTCCTTTCTCCAAGGGAGATATTTGAAAGGTGCAATTTTTCTGATACAAAAATGTGTTCATGTTTACAATAAAACATTTTAACATATATGTCTTATTTTATAGAACTCATGTGTTTTCGAAGAAAAGACAATAGAGTAAATATAAGTTTCAATGCAAACATGAGCACAATTTTTTATCAGAAAAAAATACATATTTCAAAACTCTCGTTCGAGAGGAGAAACTGAACTTATTTTTCTCATCTTTTTCGATTCTGTCACTCCCTTGGAAAGTTGATGTTATCTCCCTTCATATGTTTTGAACATTTCATTCCAGTGTATAACTTTTGTAATTTCAAACATTAGGACGTGTTTTTCGACATCTTTAACTTTGATATATTTACTTTCAACGTTATTCAGGCGATTCGCTTGAATAAATGAACTGCGATGATATTCAGATGTCTCAAATTGATCATTCTGCTGTGTTGAAGAATATGTTAATGATGTTTTTTGTTGTAAACTATTTTCTCTTTCCCATGCTTGCACTTTATTTCGTCGTATTATCGTTGATTTTGTTTCATTATTATTATGTTTTTCTAAGGTAAAATTACTTGTTAGTGCTGTAAATAAATATTTTTGATTAGAAAGTAATTCTAATGGTAACGAAATATTCACAGAAGATGTTAACATCATTGAATTTGATGTTAATGATGGTGATGAATAACATGATGATGGACAAGTTTGTAAATGAATTCTAGGTTTCGAATGATTTGAATAACATAAATTTATTGATTGACAATGATTATCATGAATATTTGGACCATCATTATGATTTAATAAACCATTACGAATAAAATATTCATTTGTATAAAGTGGTAATGATGATTGGTCATCAGAATTTAATTGTTGTTGTAAATATGGACTTGTTAAACGTTGTTTAAGTAATTGTTTATGATTACATATGATTTTAGGTTGTATATAATGAAATATTGTTTTAAGTGCTTGTCGTAATTCAAAGAGATCTTTATTTGTTAAATTAAATTCTTTTAAATAAGAATTTAATGATGTATAGGATGATGAATATATACTTTTGGTTGAAATTTGTTGATGTATATGTATTGGTGATAAAGATCGATTTTGATTTAATGCTTTTTGTTTATATAAATAAGGTTGTTTTCGATGATGTATATGATGAAGTGATGGTGATAAATATAAATTATTCATATTTAAAGAATATTTTCAATGTTTAATTATATTTCGTATTAAATGTTGTTTTATTATAAGAAGAAAAATAGAAAAGAAAAAAATCGTTCATGAACAATAAAATGAATAAGAAATTCGTTTATTTTAATCATGTTTATTCTTTTTCTTTTTGGAAAAATATTTAATAATAATCCATGTAAATACGCGCCTAGCATATTGCTTTTTAGTTAATTACAAGATTGGGAAAAAAAACAAAGATTATTTTATTATGAGCATTACAAAATATGATTAAGTTACTAGAAGATTTTTTTTTGACTTAGTTTGTATAAAAAATAAATAATGAATCATCTTTTATAATTATCTGCAATTGTGACTCTTATGATAAACATAAATGTTCGAAATGTGACATTGAAAGCACTCGATTTATTCATCTTTATGCACAAAGGTTAATATGTGAGTCACATCTACCTATTGGCGCATCTTTTATACTCATAGACAAAGTAAAATATAATGTAAGACTATCTAACGAGTGAATCATATATTTTGCGTATCAAGAGTTTGTTGTGCAATATTTAACCAGGTCATAGATACTCGTCTTTCTTCATATATATATATATATATAGATATGTATATTCTATGCGTTTACATCAAACAAAATAGTAATTTATTTACAAAACTAATACTAAATGGAGAACAAATCTATATGTGTAACAAATTCGAATACGGCTTCTGATGAAGAAGGAGTTGAAGCAACAGTCATTAGCAAAGGTAATGAATTTTTAAAAAAATACTATTTTGTCGATAATTATTTTATATTAAATTATTTAGATGAACAAAGGACAACTACTGTTCACGAAAATGGTTACGAATCTGAATGTAGTTCGAGTTCGAGAAGTGAAGAAGATATAACTCGTTCAGTACTTCAAGTGGAAGCAGATGCATTCACACAGTTTATTGAACGACAACGTGTTGAAGTTATGTTTGAATTACGTCATTTGCGTTTGGGTGACCGACCTGTAACTGGTCAACCAAATCGTGAACGAATCGAAACCTTTCTAAATAATATTCATGAACGACAACAAAATGTAAGAACACCATCAACACGACCTGTTAGACCTAGTGCTCATCTAGCTGATATTAATGCATTAGCTAATCGCCGATGTGTATCAGCTACATTAAATAGTACAGCATTTCGACAAGATCTTGAAAATGCTATTCGACGTTCAATTGGAACACGAACAATGTCACCAGTACCACAAGTTCCACAAGCACCACCTATGCCACAAATTTTATCATCGACTATTATCGAACAACAATATTCACAAATTACACCAAGTTCACCAACGTTACCGGTACACGTTGAACCAGTTATTAGAGAACAACAACGTTCTCAAATTAATCCAAACCCTACACATGAGCAATTCAATCTTGAAAGGTATTTTATTTCCATTATGTATCTATGTAGTAAAATAATTATATCTATAGACAAGAACGTGAATTACATGCATGGCAAACAATAACTCAATTACAACGTGAAACCATTGTCTTGGAAATTAGTGATCTTGTTCATCGACAATTGGTAACAAGTGCTTTAGAAAGTGATTTTCGTCAACATCTTGAACAAAATATTTACGTAAGTTGATTTATCTCAAGAATAATTTAATACTAAATGCACATGTTGATTAAATAGACTCGTTTCGAACGAGAAGCGGCAACTCAACAAGAACAACAACCAGCACCAATAATCGCAACACCATACGTTCCTCCTACGCCTGCTCCGATACGAACAACACCTAATACTCATGCTGTAAGTAGTCTATCTAACGAAAGATTCTTTACTCTTCATACAAATAATATTTATATTCTACAGTCTACTTTGACTATTGATGAATTATCATCACGATTTGATACCATGCAGAAAATGCTACAGCTCATGTTTTCTATGCAAATGGATATGCAACGATCATTACGTCAAGAAGTAGCAAGTGCTATTGCTAATAATTCCTCAACTATGGTAACTACAATGAGTCAACCAATGAATGCTGGCCATTGTACAATATGTTTGACTGCTATTGCTGATACAGTACTTTATCGTTGTGGTCATCTCTGTGTATGTTATATGTGTGGACTAAATCTTCGAGAAACAAGATCTACTGTCGGTATCAAATGTCCAATATGTCGAGCTCCAGTTGATGATATTCTGCGTGTTTATCGAAGTAGCCGTGATGGAGAATAAATATAATAGAAACAAAAAACACTAAAGTGGATTTATTTGGGGAGCATATTTTCTATAAATAGTCTGTCTTTTTTTGTGATACCTTCACCGACGTACACAACATGAATAGTTATATACACTGAAATAAACGAAAAACAAAAATATAATTTATTTTTTTAATATAATGCATTATTATTTTTTTCTTTCTTATTGTGAAACAGTTATTGATGTTTTCAGATTTTCTTTTTTTTATCATTACATATTCAATTATGAAGAATAGGTGATATCTTTTGTTTTTTAATAAACTAAATGACGTTGTCGTCAATGGTTTTCAGCTGTCATTTGAGTATCATCCATTACTGGTGAATGTATCACTGGTATTAAATTTTCATCACCTAATAAAAATTAAGATTCAAAATACAAAATAGTTTTATATAAGATTTCAATTACATACTATTGTCTTCATCTTCAGCAAAATATCTCAATAATTGTTGTCTATTTATTGGCAACATGTATTCATTATCAATAAGTTCTGAAGACGATTCTTCATCATCAGGTTCTTGATTATATTTATTGGCGGCATACATTTCATATAAATCATCAATCATTGGAACAAAGTCAATGTCTTCATCATCAGTATCATCGCTTTCTGTTGAAGAATGTGTTTCAATTTTTTCTGTTTTAGGCTCATTATTTTCATCTTTCTCTAAAGATTGTTCTTTATGATGTGATGCAAGTTGTTCATCAGCAAGTTCTTTTAAAAGACGGCCAGCGATAGCAGTTGCTTTTTGTTGTTTGGCTTCTTGAGAATTAGAAGCAGCTAAACATGGAATAATCATTTATTTTTTCATGTAAATAAATATCTATGAAAAAAGACTTTTACTTTCATTGATAGGAGCTGAAATGACCAATGAATAGCCACAAATAATAGTAAAAAGGCAAAAAGAAATGAATTGCATTATTGAGTCTCTATAGAATAAATAATAAAAATGACTTCTTCTTGAACAAAAATGTTTTGAATGATGTACTCACAGTTACTTTTTTTTCTTACGTATGTGTAGGACTTGATGCGCGTGTTATCGAGCTTTTGCGTTCAAGAATAATGAGGTCTTTCCTTCTATGTTCTCTATCTCTAACTGTTGATAGAGGAAGGATAAAAGCAATGGTGGGCGTTCGGGACGAAAATTGAATATATAAAAAAGAGAAGAAAAAGAGAATGCGAGAAAAAACATAAAAGCTAAATTGAAGAAAAACGGGAACTACGTCATCGAAACGTCATTTATTTATTTCTATCGACAAACGCTCAACATAAAACTAGTCAGTTCGCTCATTCATTCGTGCTATGTTGACTACGTGGGTGGATATTTTTTTCCCGAGAACGGAAAAAAATCTCGTTAAGCTAGCAATACAGGAAGAGAACAGAAAAAAATAAGACGCCTACTCAAAAAAGAAAACAGATGGTTCCCTATGAACAGTCGAGAGAATTCATAAGAAAAATTATCATGACATTAAAAGAAGTTCTAAATGAAAAAAAAAATATAGCAAAATCATATATCATCTATTATAGTCTTTTTTTGCTATTGTGTACAATATTAAAATAAGTTTACATGACTTCCGCTACAATCAGCTTAATGAAAAGAATAATAGTTAAAATTGGCAATTGAAAATTAAAAGATATTCTTTTTGTAGAACAAACATATAGATACTTTATATATTGTCACTTAGAATAAAAGCAGTTTTTTCAAGTGGAAAATCATTGCAAAAATAAAATAAAATTTTTTTTATCTGTTTTGAGGAAACTCATCATGCAATTATTGTTCTATATATATTTTTCTTAATCATAATCAGTTTGTTATGAATAATGCATGAATTTATTATGAATACTAATTAGTGAAAACATAAACAAATAAAAAAGAAATTTTTTTATATTAATTTGAACGTAGAATTACTCAATTTCGTCAGCATTTCGTGGGCAATAATTAGTAAATGAAAAGTGCAAATATGTGTCGCTTGTATGATTGTTATGCATGATGTCAAATCATTATCAAACTAAAACAATTAATATTTAAAATAGAAAAAAAAAGCTTTGCTTTTTTTCTTACATTCAGAATCAATTAAAAGAAAAAATACTAATCACGTCAAAAAATATATTTAATAATAAATATTGTGAACATAAATGCATGAAGTTAATTATTGACAAGATATAAATATAATATTTCTTTTATATGAGATTGTCTATGATAATTAATTCGATAATAAAATAGATCAAAACATATCTATTCATATTATTTGCGTCAATGAAAGCTTGACTCTTGAGACTACAAATCAATCAAAATCGCTTTTCATCTTTATGGAACACACAGTGGCTCCGAAAATTATTCGATCAGATTTATTTTCAATTTTGTTTCACTTTCCTAAACGCTAAAAAGAATCCAAATAGTGATTTGTGTAGAGAATTTTATTTCCAACAAGAATTTATTTTCGAAGATGCACATAATCATTAATTTTCCAAGGAGAGGAGCTTTGAAAAACCGAAACCTAAGTTTTTCACCTATGGAAATACGAAAATATAATTCTTTTTGAATTATTCCGTATAATAGACCATACAGTTCTTTACAAAAGAAAATATCTTCCAGCTCTCTACGATGTTTTTTGATCTAGATACATCAATCTTACGGAAGCCGCAAAAATTTATGCTTCAATGTGAAGTAGCAGAAAATACGACTTTTATGACTTCCATAAGATTGATATATCTAGTAAATCAAAAAACATCGTAGAAAGCTGAAGGATGTTTCATTTTGTAAAGCATTGTTTGCTTTATCATTCTAGGCAATTCAAGTCGAATTTTATTCGCGAATTACAGCAAATGAAAAACTTGGGTTTCTGGTTTTCAGAGAGTCGATGTTTGAAAAGCTAGCAATAATTTTCATCTCGAAAAATTCTTGTTGAAAATAAAATTCTCTAAACAAATTACTATTTAGATTCTTGTTAGTGTTAATGACAGTAGAAAAAAATTGAAAATAAACTTGCTCGAATAATTTTAGGATTCGCTGTAATTATTTTTATATGGTAGACATAGAATGTTTTCATCAAAATAATATTTCATTAGGTAAATTTATAGTTGTGAATCATTATCATTTTATTGATACTATTATTGATCTTTTTCAAGAAATCTGCTCTCTTATATCTATTCTAATAATAACTCTGAAAAAAGCAGTTTAAAAATTCAAAACTAAAGTACAAAGTTATTTCATTTTATCAAAATCAACTTGGCTGCATTTAGTGCATCATTTGTTAAAAAATCTTATTAGATTCATAGTTTTAGATCTTTCACTTTAACAATTGGTACTGTTTTCTTTGAAGAGATATTGAAAAACAAAAGTGAAATATATGCCATAGGCCAAACTTGGATAGAGTGATTAGTGACTCAATCCACTACTGATCCTCATTAAGTCAGTGGCACAAAATAGGGAAGCAATAATATGAATATCAACTAAATCGACGAATAAATTTCTTGATTCATCAATATTACTACAATAAATAATGGTTTTACGACAATTTGTCGAACAGAAAACGGACTGTTTTTACGAACAGACTAGTTGGTATTACATTCTCCTTTATCTGAACAATAGATATCGTTGATAGCTCCTTGAACATAGAATTATAATACAGTATTCATCTATATCTCATGTAAATCAGCCAATTGTAAATAAACGAGTTCATGAGGTCCAGTTTATGAGTTCACCAAGACATTTATTGTTTATGATTTATCAATAATCCGATGAGTATATGCAAAGTTATTGCTTTTGTTACAGTATCAGCCTACATTTGATTCACAATCTATAACTCTCACTGGTTATGCTCTTCAATGTTTCTACATGTATAACATAGACCAGTCTTTTACTGGAAACAAGATGTGTAACGGGAAAAAATTTATCCTTATTTTGCTAAGATGAATCTTAGATTGACTCAGGATATATATAATCCAACATGAATCACATTGTTAGATTAACAATACATATATATATAGACAATAAGTCCAACTTACTACAAACTCTATTTGATATTATTGTTCTCTTGATTGTGATTGATGGATCAAAAAGAATAGTTTAATTGAATGATGATTAATGTCAACCACTTGAAACAGATTTTATTGTACAAGTGATTACAATATGGTTGTACCTATTGAATTGATGTGATTGACTTTGATATGAAATGAATCCAAAAACAACTACATGTGACTATGAACTACTCACAAGAACATTCTCTGTAACAAAAAGATTATTTACCTGTGATTACGGTCATGATAGAACAGAAACAACTAAGTACAGAAGACAAACAGAACCTAAAAGCTTACTACAATAAATTATCAATTAATTTTCTTTTCAACTATTGATTGAAACACTCAATTCATTACTTACAATTAAATAAATTCTTCTGAAAATAAAAATACACATTCCATTTCAGATAAAGTTTTTTATAAATAAGAACTATTTCAAAATGAACTCTAACTATTAATACACAAGACTATTAAATTTAGTCTTAAACAAACATCTTCTACATCATAGTTATTATTACGATATACTTTTACCATAGTCCTGTTGGACAGTTCCGAGTTCTGAATATCACGTTTCACGGGATATTCTCCATCAAGACATTTTAAAAGCATAGTAGGACAGGACTAGCGGAACTCAAGACTCCAACAAAGTTTGTCTCACAGGACTTTAACTTTCACTCTATTCTACTCAGTTAAAACAGATAAATTTAAATCTATTAGAAAAAATATATGACGGATTCTTTTTGACTATGACGCTAATTTTTTTTTTCTTAGCCCTATAAATATTTATTTAGTCATATTAAATCTTGTCAAATATAACTTTTTCCTTTCTATCTTTTAACTAAGAGCAATTCTTGCTTGAGTGTTAATTTCATATTTGAATGTCATACTAGTCATGACATAAATACCACCAAGATTTTGTATTACTTAATTGATGACTTGCTCGAAGTGCATTAGATATGCATCCACTGATTTAAATCATACTCCAGTTATGACATAAGAAAAAGTAGTAAAAGAGCACATTTTTTTATCATTTATTAATTAAGACGGTCATAAAACTCTTTGAACTTTTGTGTCTTTAAAAAACTGTTTCTTGGTGATCTTTTGAGAGCAGTTGTTGAGTCTTAAGCCTTTTTTCATTATGCAAATAGACATTGATCTCATGATCTTTTCAGAAAAAATCTATATGTATAATTAATATAGAATAATTGAAATTTTCTATTTTGATTTTCGAAAACGAAATATTCAAATGAGTAAGTCAATAATCATAATGATTCTATAGATGCTAATTAATCATGGTCAACAAAAGACGTCATCAATAAGGTTCTCCTGTTTGCAATCAAGGAAAAACTTGTCGCAATTCTTCTAACATTAAAATTAAATTTCACAACAAAAATTGCAAAAAAGAACGCTTTATTCATGGAACATCATAATACAACACCTATCAAGGACTAAAAAGCTGAGGCTATCAAAATCCATCGTATCATAAACTAAAAAATATTTACAATATTTATTACAAGAACTGAATCGACAAACTAGGTTCAAGGGAAGATTTCTGCTGTCATACTAACACACAACAGAACAATCATTCATGACAAACATTGCTCTTCTCATAAAATCAATATTCAATATTTTTAAGTTTTTAGGATTTTTTTCTATAATAAACAATTGAATATTAATTTATCTTTCATAATGATCTGCTATAAAGGTCTACAACACATATTTTTACTTGTGTTCAATCATTTTTTACTGAAACAACACTACTATCAACATCAATATTTA